TGTCTGTGTGGGTGGTTGGAGGGTGCCACTGGTAGGCCGTAGGGGGGGTGAGTACCGGGGGTCTGCTGAGAAGTTAGTTGAGCTCACGTGCATGAGATGAAGATCGAGTGAGTGAGTCCCTTCCTCCCCTAGCCTAGTGTGTGTGTGAGTGAGCAAGCAGCCAGTCAGACAGACAGACGGACGGATGGTAGGGGGCTCGAGCAGGAATGGCGGAGAATCGGTCGGTTTTGCACGCGCATTACTAGTACTCACGTTCTCACTGGAGATATTGTTTCACCTACTCAACTTCTTGTGTGATTTATTGAGTCGTTTTCTTTGGGCTACCGGGATTATGAAGTTATAGTTTTTGATTTCGTTACCGGACTTCAAGGATCTGTTTATAGTTGGGGGGGTTTTCGTTTCACCAAAGGATAATGTTATAGTTTTTAACTTTTTCATTGGACCACAGTGATCTAGTGAAAGTTTGTTTTAAAAAAAAACTTTTTCATTGAATCTCAGCGATGAAGTTAGATTTTGAACGTTTGCATCGGACCTCAGTGATCTATCGAATGTTTTTATTTCTTCGTTTTATCAAGAAATGAAGTTATAGTTTTTCACTTTTTCATTGGACCCCAAAAAATGTTGTGATAGTTTTTAAAAAATTTTTTTTTTCTGTCGAGTTTTCTTTTGCGTGTTCGTTCGTTGTATTTGATTTGTTTTTGTTTTTTTCGGTTTTTATTTTGTTGCTTTTCTTATCTTTCTAATTGTCCCCCTATTTACTTACATGGGATTCTCAGGTACTTAGTGCGTTCTGATTACGTCACACCATTGGTGGTCACACTTCTGGTCTTTCTTTCCTTTGGCTCGCTTTTTTTATACTTTTTATTTCTCTAGCTCGCTCTCTCTCTCTATCTCTCTCTCCCCCTCTCTCCCATACTCCCCCTCCCTCTCTCTCTCTTTCTGTCTCTCTCATACTTCCCCTCCCTCTCTCTCCCCCTCTCTCTCACTCCCCCCCTCTCTCTCTCTTTCTGTCTCTCT